GCTTGAGACCGGTCACGTACGGCCTTTTCGTGTGAACTTTTTGATGTGTTAGCTCCGTTCTTCAAAAGGCCTAACCGCTGGAGACAGAAATCTGTGAGGTAAGGTGAAGTGTGACATTTCTAGGGTCGACCTTTTCTAACCCTTTCCTTCCTTGTGAGAAGGCAGCATCGCTGCAGATGCTGGTTTTCCGAAGGAAATACCTCACTCCCGTCACATCCCTCTACAGCCAGCAGTACAACTTCGCCCTCAGACCTTGAGTTGCTGCTTTTAGTCTTACCGTTCTTCAATCAACCTGCCTGGCATGGTAGAACCTACAGGAACATATGTTCCAGCCAATGTAGCTCGGTTGGGTCATCACATAAATTTCAAGCAATACCACAACAGACAAATTTTATAAATTCGGGCAATTTTAAAGTTTATATACTAAAGACGAATAATGCTGCACATAGAAATAGCTATGTAAACCATTAAAATAATTTACTTTAAATGTGTTACTTTCATTTTTTTGGTATTATTTAAGTAGAGAATATCATACTAGTCAAAATGATTGTTATTACTGATGAGCAAACTAAAGTTACTATTGTACACCAAAACTAAGTGACAAACTAATAAACATTTAAAGCATAAATCTGATATCACTGGTTGAGAAGGCGAAATCCAATTCTTTTACTCATTGTAATTCTTGCTCAATATCACTTCCGTTTTCAATTCTAAATGATGATTATTTGAAATAATATTTGTGTTTATTTTCCAATGTGATATTTTATTTGGTATAACATTAATTCAATTGAGTGTGATATTATTTCAGGAAATGATACTCAGCATAATAGACAGCATGTGACTTTGTTATAACCCTCAGTACTTTATATATATGTGATTTTATTCTTATTCAGAATCAAAATAAGTGTTCAATCAGTATATATTGAGCGTATTTTTAACTACGGTTGTTGTGTTTTAGGGGTTGATAAATCGTCGCTTGTATCAGTCTTGGTGTTCTTCCTTGGCGTTGTGAGAATTACGGTAGTTCCCCGTTCTTTCAATTATAAGAATAAGAGACATGGATACAACAAGATGACAACATTATACATTACAAGAAATGAATGTTGTCCATCAATTAAAATTAATTTATTGTTTAATAATAAAAACACTTTTATTATCCACCGACTAACTTTTATGTACACTATAATTCTCCAAAGTATCATTATTGATTGTACTGCTTAATTAATAAAAAAAGGATGTCTGTTACATGATTATATTTATCACTACTCTAGAGTTTATAAAATGTAATCACAGTTATCATTGTACAATAATCCTCAGTAGTAATATTGAAATATTCAACTTGACGTAACTCGATCGGCGAGACCCTAATTTATGGACGACTTTTGAACGAATTTTAAGTGACCTTGAGAATATTAGCCAATCAGCCGACAGTAAGTATAGAGTAAAAATATATTATACAAAACCAAGGAAATAAAGTGGATACATTTCTTATACGTGGTTCAAAAAATTGTCATGGTTAGAAAGAGTTTCAGAGGTTCTAAAATCGTAATGCATGCAGTAGAGGGGATCATTCATACGGTTACAGAATAATCGGCCTCTAGAGCCATGATAAAGTCTTAAAAACTCTTTCAGCCTCGACCACATAATTTCAATATTGTTAATGTGCACTTCGGTTTTTGAGTGCACAAAATGCTACTTGTGGATAACGACACGATGCACATAACCAAGGCTATGAAGGAGTCTGTACGCTCTCCAAACATCTGTATATATTGTACTACCTGGCTGCAGCCAGTGTTACTGGGACTTTTATTATCCAGTTCGCGATAACTGTCATAATTTGCCTCAGTTAGGAATTATGTATGGGGTTTTCATCACGAACTGACATCAGCTATAGTACCAGAAATTTATTTAGCCAAATGGGTGAAAGGCTTTCGTGCTCATCCATGAATTAGTCTCGCCACTAGATCATTAAAATATACATATACGCAAATTGAGTCTTTTTTCAAAAAATGTCGCACAATTTTGAATGCCTTTAAATAACAAATACTATTATACAATGGTGTGTGCTACTAATGCCGATAGATATAAGTAGTATGTCTCATCAATCGAAAGTGAAGTACCTGGCGGCAGAAAGTTAAGAAGATCAAAGAAAAGAGAACGTGAACAAAGAATGATTGGTGTGGAAACTAAGGAACTATGAAGTCTGAGACGATTGACTGATATTTTGCTAATGAAGTATTTACTGTATGGTTTTCAGATTTTACTAAGATATTTTGTAATTTTGTATTCAAATACATTCAAATACAACACTAACAAATTCTATATTTTGATATTAATAATAAATGTATGTGTCCTTTCAAGTAATCAGGAATGTATATGGTAAGAATATGCAACGACCTTCACTAAACACACGAATGACTTTCATACTACCTAATCAAAAATAGAAAATCAGAATTCGGCTTTCATGTAAGAGCTCCAAAATATAGAAAGGCGATAGAAATACAGAGGATGAGGAGTTTTAAATTAATTATTGAACTTATTAGTGCTAGCTGTCGATTATTATGATTTTGGCCCCATATCTTTTAAGAGCTAACTCCTAACTCTACAACCTCTCTACTCTACTTTCTAACCGTGGAACTCTTGAACCCTAGCTCCTAATTCTAAAACTTCTAGACCCTGGCTCCTAGCATTTAAAAATCTTGACTCCAACTATTAATCTTCAAATCTATCGACTTTAGCTACTATCCTCTAAACGTCTTAACCGTTATACCTCATATCACTTCATATCACCAATATTTCCAACCTTAACCCTAGTGTTATATCCCGACGAGAATTATGAATGGTAACCTTTAAGAACTATTTATAGACCAATACGATGCATATATTTTTATTGTATAATTGTCAAGCAACTAAACTGTGCATATTCACGTTCCTATTATTAAAAGCTTTATGTCGACCCATAGACTATTATTATGTCATTTACTATTCTTGAGTTATGCCCAGTCAATTAATTACTACCTCCTATATTCACAGCCACTTTTGGCTAGATCTTGTACAAATGTTATTTTCCATTTTATAGTACTATGTGGTCTGCTTGATTTGTATATAAACTCAGTATGTTTGAAATAAATGATTCATATTGCAGAGACTGAGATTGGTGTTCTGGATTTAACTGGTTGAGCTAGGCAGGAAGCAGGACGAATAGGGACTCTAGACTGCTCGTACGCGTTTTATGCGCCATTAGTCCAGTCGGTAAATCACTGTTCTCTAATTGGCAGTATCATTACGTTGTATATTAGTTAGGCACGAGGCCACAAGTTATAACACTTAACTTCTAACCGTTAAACTCCTTAACCCTAGATCCTAATCCTAAAAACCTCTAAACACTAAGTTCTAACCCTAATACTTCTAACCTAAACACACTTAACCCAAACATGTTAACGATACGAGTTTATTCCACGAGTAAACTACCATTCAATCTTTTCGAAATATCATAAGTTTTAATAATAAACTATCTCCAACATTGTTATAACTTGTGACTGCGGGTTAGACCCAGCGAACTATCGATCGGAGCAAAGACGCGTAAAACACGTAAGAACGACCTAGAGTCCTGATTGACCCTGCTTCCCTGTCTAGCCTAGCCAGTTGAGTCCAGAACGCAAGTCTCAGCCTCTGAGATATGAATCATTATAATTCAACTATATTGAGTTTATATACCAATCAAATCGACCACAAGGTATCAATAAAATATGAAACAACATTTGTACTAGAATTAGCCAGATGTGGCTGTGAATGAGGGAGGTAGCGATTAACAAACAGGGAATAATTCATGAATGGTAAATCGTATAATAATAAATTATAGGTCAAAATCAGCCCTAATGGGCTGGTATCGGACGAAACCTCAGCACGGATTCGAAAAGCTCGTTTGGCTTTTGCCAACTTACGTCACCTATGGCGAAGGCGAGATATCCGTCTATCAATAAAAGGACGGGTATACTGCGCGGCAGTTCGTTCTGTTTTACTTTACGGCGGCGAAACATGGCCATTAAGAGTAGAAGACACCCGTAAGCTCCTAGTATTTGACCACAGATGCCTTAGAAATATTGCTGGCGTCTGTTGGGATCATCGGGTAAGTAATAGTGAGGTTAGACGCAGGGTATTAGGGAATGATGGTAAATCACTTGATGAGGTTGTTAATCTTCATCGACTGAGATGGTTGGGCTACGTGTTACGTATGCCTGAACACCGATTATCACGTCGTGCAATGCTAACGGGTGTTAGAGATGGTTGGAAGAGAATTAGAGGCGGCCAAACCAAAACGTGGCATCAGTGCTTGAAGACACTAACCTCTAGTCTGAGCCATATTGGTAGATGCAGACTACTTGGTTGGGGTCCGCGTGACTTTTGTAACCAATGGTTAGAGACTCTTGGTGACATGGCTCAGAATCGGTCACAATGGCGTAGGTGTATACACTCCCTGTCTTCCCTTAAACTAAGAGATTAAAATCACTTCATATCTTTCTTTCTACTAACTAATTCTTTCTTCCTGTACTGTATCCTTATATGCAATCTTTCTCCCATATATTACCACCTTTGACCTAACCACTCCTATGAATCCGGTGTTTATCTTGCTGTTCTAATGCGGTATGGCAACCTGGACCGATGCATATATGTGTCTGGTCCTATGTTGTAGTTGACTGACTGACTCACTGATAGGTCAAAATAAAACTCATAATAAGAGGAACATGAATAATGAACAGTTTAGTTACATAACAATTATACGATATAAATATACTTATAATATTGGTCCATAAATGGATCTCAAAAATTACCATTCATTATTCTTATCCGGATATAACAAACATCATTTTAAAGTTGAACATTAGTTAATTTAATTTTAATGAATTGCTCAAAGTCAACAGTATCATATTAATCTTATCTTAATTCATAAACATGTAATATCTTTAATTATTTCTATACTTTATTTATGTTATTTTTAGGTACGAATAATGATTTGTATAAGTTGGATATTTCCAGCAACATTATTCACATTACTTATATTTGGTTGGTCATATATAACTGGTGAAACACAACGTGATATAACTAAATGTGATGTATCATTTACATATTATCCAATATTTAATACAACATTAACTATAGGGTATTTTTGGATTACATTAATTATTATGTGTAGTTTATATGTTGGTATTTATAAAGTAGCACGTAGATTACAAAAAAAATCATTAGAAAGTAATAAACGTTTAGTACAATTTTTAACAAAAGTTGATCAAGATTCAATACATTCACAAAGTAATCAAAATTCATTAGATGATAATAATAATAATGGCGGTAATAATGATCGGAAACATTCCAAATCAAAAGTTATTAAAGAAAATATGAAACGATATCGTGATCGAACAAATAAACATTTTTATTATGAACCTAAATCAAATTACAATCAATCATTTGATGATGTAATGGATTGTAATTTTACATTCAATAAAAAGTGTAAATATGATCCAATTCAACGGTAAGTAATATTGATCAATTAATGATAAAAAATTTTTAAAAAAAACAAACTATTTTGCTATCAGAATGGGTTTTGTGGAGATTTTTTTAGAAATTTCACTAGTTGAAATCATGAGTCAATTGAAGCTAGACCACCATGGAAAACCTGGAAGCACTGGACGGCGGTTTCATCCTGGTATGGGACTACTCAGCAGTGTGCATCCACTATTTTGTATTTATGTATAATTAGTTATTGTTACATTGAATGATAGAGAAATAAAATTTGTCATATTCTTTTTATCTATTAGTAACTAGTGGTGAATGTATAATGCTAGTATTTGAACGAAGAATATTCACTTCGCATTCATCCCTCCGTATTACGTCTTAGTTATTTGATCGAATTGTAATTGCACTATTATTTCTCTCTCACCCTATTTGACCCATATTTATTCTGATCATGGATCTTAAATCTCACTTAACATATACGCAGATTCAAGTCAACATTCTGATATGAGTCATATTAACATTAACAATTTTATTGTATTTTGTTTATCACAATCCTAAATTCACATGCTTTAAACGATGTACTTCGCCCTTAACCTGACCATTTTTTCGGATTATCAATTTGGATATATATGAATTGTAGGACCTGAAGAGAATTTATCGAAAAGAATATTCTTCGTTCAAATACTAGTCTTTTAATATGACGGAGATCTTTAAACGATTAGAATGTATAACGATAGAATTCAGACCAATGTCTATGTGTTAAAATAAAAATAAATAAATCAGTGGTCTAGAGGTTAAGCATTCGCGCGCAAGATTGATAGGTCCTGTGTCCGAACTTCGCAAGGCTGGATCATGGATGCGCACTGCTGAGGAGTCCTATACTAGGACGAACCGGCCGTCCAGTGCTTCCAGGTTTTCAATGGTGGTTTAGCTTCAATTGAATCATGATTTTAACTGTTGAAATAATTTATTAGCAAATTTCCATTATTTATCTTTTATATTTTGTGTGATTTTTCCAGTTCACAATCACATTCTCTTTCTTTTTCTATTCACTTCAATTAGATCTTCTTGAACTTCTGTTGCCAAATTTTCCATATTCGATTAGTGTTATATACTACTTATGTCGATAGGCATTAGTAGCATACATAACAATATTAATATCGATTGCATGGGACTAATGTAGAACTCAGTATATATAGATGTTCATCACTAAAGTAAATATTTTCTGAGACATATTTTGATTAATATAGCTATGTAATCTAAACAATCTAACTGGATGACTTATCCTGCTACTGGATCAATCACAATTAATCATTCAGTCACTTTCTTGTTGTAACTAAAAACTTGTTATAAATATGTACAGAGTTGCATTTTGGCCAGACTATACCTTGTGGTCACAGATCATGTGGATCTTCTGATATTCTTGTTAATTCAATAAGAAATCCCATATTAGGAGGGAAATATTCAAGTATATGTACTGCCGATTAGTGTGTTATCAGTTCGAATCTACCCATCTTTTCATCACATCGACCCACTCAGTCACGTTAGTTATGACTTTCCTGAATTAAGTTTTATGTTTTATCAGAGACTATTCAGGGGTGATGGAGAATTCTTGATGCTCCGAATGAGAATCTTGAAGCTGATATGTCGTTTGAACAGAATGGTTGCAACCTAGAGTAAACAACATAAATTACTTAATTTTGTTTGTTTGGAACCTGTTCTTATTTATATCTTCCTATAAAAACGACAGATATTCTTACTTACTTACACCTGTTACACCTTGTGGAGGAGCAAAGGCCGTCCACCAGCATTCTTTATTCAACTCTGTCCTGGGGAATACTTTCCAGTTGCTATTCATCCTTTTCATATCTGGTTACGATTCTCGACGCAGTGTGTTCTTTGGCCTCCTTCTATCCCGTTTCTCTTCAGGATTCCAAGTTAGCACTTGCTTCGTAATGCAGTTTGATGTTTTCTGCAATGTGTGTTTTATCCACATCCAATGTCTCTTCCTAATTTCCTCTTCAACTAGAAGCTAGTTTGTCCTCTCCCACAGAAAACAATGATTAACGATCATTACAACCTAGCAAATCAGCATAATTTCTAAGTATGAAATTGTATGAATTGAAGAGCTTGCCAGATTTTTCCTAATAATAAACAAATTATAAACAATATCAGTTAAATATTTGTAACCAATATAAGATTCTCTTTAATATAAAGCTGAAAAGACAGTGACTAGACAGAAGTTTTTATTCTTAGACGTCAACCAAGGAAAGTGATATTCGAATTATTAAGAAACTAACTAACCATCTACTGCTTCTCTAACAGCATTACTATTAGTTCAGAATACATGTACTCTCTTATATAACTGAATAACTTCTCCAAAAATTAGGAACAAAGTTCACCAGTAATTACTAATCTATGTACAACAACAATTTTTGATAAGTTTTAATAAAAATAACTGAGATAGCCATTCAGTGAAATATTAATTCAAGACCTCCAGTAGAAAATCGATTTACAATAAGATCCACATATGTCTTAATACAAGATCTACACCGTTCGAAACGGCTACGAAATTTCATCCTTAAAATAAATCCTTTGATACCCAGTGATTAGAAGTAATCGATAAGATGTGAAATAATTCAGGTTATTTGCTCATCTATTTGAATAAGACAAAACTAGACAAATCATGTAACAAAGGAATCATTCTAATCTTTTTTTGGTTATTTTAGTAATCTTCATGTATTTATCCTTATTAATTCGTCTAAGCGTATTGTGCTCATTCTTATACAGCTATTTAGTATCCGGAACATTGTATACCAAATTAAAGTTAAAAATTATATTCAACTAGAATCAATCAAGAGCTAAACATATGCCTTGAGCTTTAATTTAGTGATTATGAAGTTCAAAAAGTACGAAATATAAATTACTAAACATCGAAGCAAGTAATCAAGTAACCCCAATACAAACTCAATAGAATTTCATTAACTATAAGAATTAAATAAAAATAACATAAATAAGCAAGCATGGATAGTAGTTAGCAGTGGAATCCAGGACGTGCGTTTCGTCAGCTGGATGTACCAGTATCGCAGAGTTAATGTCCATTCTTGGACTCGAACCCAGTACCGTTCGCTTCAAACTCCATTGTGTTATCCACTTAGCTATTGAGTCCATCTTTGCTTTAAAAAAGCTTTTGAATTAAGGCAATATCGAGGTAATACACATAGTATACACATACTAATAAGAGACTGATCAATTGCAATCCTAAACATCAATGAGAAGATTCAAGTGAATTTAACATTGATAACTAATAAATGATCAATCAGTATAAAAATTAACATTGTTTTATAATCTATTTCTTTCAGAAATTTATTGACAGCGGTTGATGATCATCCACATAACTCATTAAAAGAATCACATTTCATAGAAATTAATTCAAAAAGTAATTATCCTATAAAAAACAATACAAATAAATGTCATTTGGAATATGGAAGTGAAACTAGTGGTTGTTCAACATTTCATCCAACAAATAATAATAGTACTGAAAGTAAAACTCAATTATCATCAATCATTGAAAGATCTCAGTTACTTTCAACTATAGATGTATCAAAAAAATATGAAGATATAACATTTAAAATTTCTAAAAATGAATCTTTATCTTCTATATCTGATGAATATTTCTCATTACCATCTGTAAATTTTTATATACCATCACCAAAAGTTCCTATATCATCACCAATTCAAAGTAATCAATCAATATCTTCAAAATATATAGAATCAGATAATAGTTCCCCGGTATGGATTAAAAAAGATGCTTGTTATGATTCTGGTTTAAATTTATATGTATATGATATATGTCCACAATTAATGAAATGTCAAACATTTATTCATGAAGGAAATATTTGTCAAAATAGTATCTATTTATCGGATTCAATCTCTTGGAATCAATGTATTCAATCATGTTGTCTGTTAGAAAAAGTAAGTTATAGTTAAAAATAAGATGAATGCTATTAGATATTATTTTATGTATCAAATATTTAATTGATGTTTAGTTCAGAAAAATTGATAAATTGTAGTGGCTGTGCTTCGTTGACCAATCAATCTCGTAACCGTTACCATATAATCCTCTACGGTGTTTGAAATCAGAAGGCAATGAGAAGCAGCGACTACAGTTTTATTAGCAGATAACTCAAACCACAAAGCAGTGATGAGAATGAGTGAGTCAGCGAACCGAGAGTGTAGTGTTAAATGTACATGTATATGTAGGGAAATGAAGGGATCATCGAATCAATGAAGCAGCTAATGATAAAGCTAGCAGAATGAATATGTACGTAGGCGGTAAGCAACGTTCAAGCATACATATTTCATACAAGCACAACAATGATAAGGGTACAATAAGTTGTTATAGTATGGATGACTTTGTCAGCCAAACAAGTTAGCAAAAGGGCTTAGCTGAGTTAAATGGGAACAAACTCAATTGCATGTGAGTTGCTATAATATTTATCCAAATATTCAATGGTTTTTATATTCAATGTAATTGACCAAATTATTACTTATTATTGTAAGCTTTCTACTTTTAAATAATGAATTAGGATTATTTTACTTAACTATCCATGATCTATACTTTATAGAATCAAAGCCATATCATCACAAACAAAAATTTAAATTTAGTAACATCCTCTAGGACTAACCTCATTTTATCCAAGTATTCTTGGTGGTCGTGCAGTACTACACCAGCTCCTTTGTCGGAGCTAATGCTCCTGAAAAGAAGAAACTTAAATGTCTTGCATTGTGAATGCAGACTGCTGTCATAAATTAGGACAAAATAACTATCCAATCTAGTCAGTAAACTAAGAATATTATTATAAATAAATAATATATTTGTAATATCTCAATGAGTAGAAAAATTCGATTTTCTGACGTAATATTCTTGTTGTTCCGTTGTACTATTTAAACTTGGATTAATTTTTGTTTGACTATTTATTTATTCTCTGAAAAAGTACCTTACACTAAGTCACGAAACGTCAGAAAATCGAATTGTTCTACTCATTGGGATGTTACAAATATATTAATTAATTCATACCAATCTACCCAATGCTCAGTTTATTCGACATTATCAAGTCAAACCTTGATAATGAAACCTAAGAATATTATTATACCAACCTGGTACTAGGCTAATTTCTGTCTAGTACTCTAAAATTAATCCATTTCACTCAACTTGATGTAAATAAGAACAAAATTCTAATCAAAGACGGAATAAAATGTGTAAAAACAAAAACAGAAGAAGCCATTTCTTATCATTTCACATTCATTATTAAGCTTCAATTAATGGAACGTAAACAAACAGATATATTCATATTTGTTGTCGCATCAGCCATATGAAAATTTAAACCCCCTTTGTGTATTCAAAAACAGTGTTCTCATCTTAAACCTACCCCGATAATATTGACTTATTAACCAGAGTGATTAGGTTTCAAATTGTGTTCACATTATTATAAATAATCTTATTATTATTATTATCTTTGACTCCTCTTGCCCCATTTCCAGTCTAGTTGACCTTTTACTTTTATATATAAATGTTCTTAACAAGTATATGTGTGATCAGATTGTTCGAAATGTATTGCGCTAATATATCACATAGTCCTAATAATCTTCGTCTTCTTATTACATTATCGAAATTTATCAAAGGGATCAATTGCTTTAAACACATAATCATTCAAAAATATATCCTTTTAGTATATAAATATGAAAACATTCAATAGGTTTTGTTTTTTACTCTGGAAAAAAAAAGATGAACTCATTTCTATAAAACGAGTTGTATTGTGGTGAGCTACTTATATTCACATAAGTAGTATATAATAATGGTGTGGCATAGAATGTATTTCAGTAGAAACGGGAAGCGAAAGCAATTAATAATGAAAATGCATAAACAATAAAACCTGAGACAATGGATTGATATTTACAAAAGTAACAATCAAGTTTGACACAATCGATTGATATTTTGCAAATTAACTATTTACTATATGGCTCCCAGATTTTATTGAGATGTTCTGTCATTTTGTATTTAAACACGTTTAATTGTTACCACTCGTATTCTTGTTCACTACAGTATTAAGTTCATTTCCAGTTTTTTTTTAAAATTTTATTTTAATCTTTAAACAATAATAGTGTGAATATTCAGATTATACAACATCAAGTGATGATCCCAGTTCAACATTATATAATCAATCAATAATTAATGATCATTGGTGTCTACGTTTTATGAATAAATGGAATAAATCTAAACGTGATCGAACTATTAAATCACCTTGTGTATTCAATCAAATAAAACATAATTCATTATTATGGTATAAATCTAATGATAAATCATATTTAACTGAATATCAACCTAATTCTAATGTTAATACTGATCAAGAAATATGTCCATTTTGTCAAATAAATAAAGATAATAATAATAATAAGTTTATTCAGGAAGATAAATCAAAACAAAAATCTGGATTGCAACTAATAGTAGAACAGATCAAATTCAAAGTTCAATATTGTTGTTGTTGTTGTTGTATTCTATCATCAAAACATGTAAATATTCCTTTAAATAATAATCCAATACAAATTCAATCAAATAGTACAACCAATAATAGTAAAACTATACATAGTAATGATAATAGTGATAATGATTGTGTAACACAATATAATCAATTAAAAATTAAACATAATAAATTATCAATTAAAGATAAATATAAACAACAAATTAATTCACAAATACAACAACAACAACAATTACAACATAGAAAATCATCAATAACAACGAATAAACGACAAACAACCTTTTCAATATTTCAATCATTATCTAATATTGATATGCAAAATCGTAAACATGCATGTAAAGCATTAAAAACAATTAGTCTTATATTAGGCGCATTTATGATATGTTGGACACCATATCATATAATTGTATTAATTAAAGGATTTTGTGATGATATTAATACGCATAATAGTTGTGTAAATATTCATTTATATAATCTTTCTTATTGGTTATGTTATATGAATTCACCAATTAATCCATTCTGTTATGCATTATCCAATGTTTCATTTAGGCGAACATTTTTTCGAATATTACGATGTGATTTCCAAAAAAGATAAAAAAATTTATTGAATGTTCTCCTTTTTTTGTTGTTGTTTTAAACAATCATTGTTTATGTATTGTGTACACTTTTTTTAAAAAAGAATGTAATCATAAACCAGCTATCGATATTTGTCACTCTCTTATAGATCAATTATATTGAAATCATGAGTTAATTGAAGTTAGACTATCATGGAAAACCTGGAAGTATACTAGACAGCTGTTTCATCCTATTATGGGACTTCTTAATAGTGCGCATCCATGATCCAGCCTTGCGAGGTTCGAACACAGAACCTATCAGTCTTGCACTCGAACGCTTAACATCTAGACTACTGAGCCGGCTGGCATCTAACGGTGTTAATGTCTAACTTCAAACTAATCCACAAAATTGAGCGACACACCCACCATTGTCTTCACTGAGTTACTATTTCACAACAGACCTGGTTGAACTTCACTGGTCACTGCTTTTAACTAGAACTCTAGGAAATACTTCTTGAAACCAGTCACTAGTGACCATATTTAATATCAATATATTAAAAAAACATTTAGAAAAATAGAATCTTCTATGCATCTTGGTGTAGGCAATCTTTCTGATGTCCATTACAATATAGTACATTAATACAACAACACAACATGGGTACTACATCAATACAGTAAATACGAAATCATTAGGTCATTATACTAAGACATTTCAAACACAGATACACTACTTACGATCGAAAATTGAGAACGAGGTTATAGAGACAGAATATTTTATTCATATAAAGTATAGGCAATTTAAACACAATGAAATCCATAATAGAAGTCGATAACAGGAAGGAACATACAATATTGAATAGCGTCCCAATATCTACCAAAGCTGTGTCTGCTATTCTTTGCTCAATGGCCGTACATCACTTTCCTTGGTATATATTCAATTATCAAGTAAATTAATGAAAACAATGAATGGTAGTGTCAGTCGAACTCAATAAATGTAATCCGTCTCATAAGTGGGCAAACTCAAAAAAAATTCTCTATAGTAGTTGAGCCACACTAATCCAAACCCCTTTCAAAATACTGTTCATTTATTAAAACGTAGTTTTATTTACAATTTTATTATTCAAAATATCCTACACAAATCAGTCACCTTAGGAGTCCCTCCCACTTTGCTAGTCATTTACAGAAAGTAATTCCACCAATTCAATTCGTTAGAAAACATCCAGACAGTATATCAGAGACCAAAATGCACTAGAAAATGTATTGACCCTATCCAGTAGAATGAAAAACAACGTATTTCATGAATAAAACATGAAATGTAGAAGCCGAACAAAATAAAATTTGAAGATTGTAACCTTTTAGCATTATTTAATAATTAAGTGTAGTGGAAGGTTCAGTGGTCAGTTATTATGCTCGTTGATGCAAGACCTAAAAGAAACTTACGTCGTCACGAGATGTAACCGAACTCATTGCTATTGAGTCCTCAAATAGTAACTAAGGCCTCTATACGACTGGATTATAATCAATTATTGGCCAAGAGAATATAAAATGCGCGAATTCGGTAATAAATTGACATATATTATAGATCATCATAAGATAATATGATATATATGTGCAACAATCAGACAAGACAAACGTTCACACCCTACCCATACTGTTTTAACAGACCGATTAAGATATCGCGCGGTTGCTTAGCTTATTTGGCACCGATTTTGAGAATCGAGTCTAGTTCTTTATTAACTATTAGATGGAAAAAAAACCAAGGGTCGCCGGTTCATCATATAACGCTATGGAACGAAAGATAATTCTAGACAACTAGCATTAGTTCGTCAATCACAGCCCTGATATTGATACCCTAAAGAACATACAGCTAAAACGATCCTATTGTAATTTCCCATTATATTCTTCATTACGAAAGATGAAACTTCATAACTAAACGAAATATATTTTGTTTTCTAAAACCGAAGGGTATCCTTTAGTCAATAATGACCTCGTTTAGATATTTATCTTATGGTCTTTTGCTTTTCCGTTTGTACACACCACTCCACTTTGTATGGGACAGTTTTTGTCCCCCATGTAGAAAACTGTTACAAATAAGATGAAGGCTAACAGTAAGCGACAAAGCTCTCCAACATCTCACACAACACAGCTAAAAAATATTGTTAATACTATGTTGGTGTTAATTTAGATTTATAAGCGTTATGGAGAGAAATATTAATTTTTGATATGTTCTTCAAGCATCAAAAACTCATCCGACATCTTTTATATTGTTGAATGGTTCAAAAACACCACCCAAATCCCAATACTGAAAGAGATCATCAAGTAACTGGTGCCAAATGAAACTAGCTCGGTTCAACATTAATCACTATATATTCCCATTAAACTCCATTGATGTTCTAAAAAATAGATTAAGAATAGTAGTCTGGGGGACTTTCCTTTACTCAAACAATCTTTAACAATACAAATAGCAATTAGGAAGTTGAGTACTTAAGCAATCGAAGAATGTACATAACAAGCACCTCTGACTGGATTTTACTCCTTATATTGTAACTGTAATATGGAGGAAATTAATAAGACATTCACCAACAGTATGCAACAAACTCGTTAGTAAATTTGGTGAACAATAACGTCTTACAGGTTACATAATAACATGATTTAATATGACGATAAAAGATTACTACTCAGAGAAGTTCAAATAACCTGTAAAATCTTCCCAAAACCTACCTTCACAACTCCATCAGAAGATAAACAATGAACAACAAGCGAAGTTCAGTAGTAATATATCTGTCATTACAGTTAACTTAAGATTCTAAAGGAACCTAACTGGTTGCAACTAAAACGAATTTCACACTAGAGATGTTGGGTGCTACGTTACAAAGTGATCGTAATCGAGACTTATTAATTCTTTAACTTACAAATATTAAGACATATTACTTAGTACTTTTTATTCCTCCACTTCACATACTCTTCAATTGTTTTCTCTATGTATGATTTCTGTTATCATTTATACTGGTATTATTTTGAATCCTTTACTTTCCTCTCGAGTTAATACACAGAGTAGTAATTTGAATAGATACATATTCATGCTGATTCGCATGCTTTTATGTCCAAATATTTGACCAGAGTGATCCTAATGTGCATTTTAGGTACACATTCAATCATATCTAACCAAACATAAAAATAATCTGAAAGTTTATGAAAGTTGACATAACTTAAGACAATTTGATGGGTATAAATCCAATTCTAATAAATACAATACTACATTAAAAAGAGCAAGCAAATATTTTGATGATCAAACGTCACAAGCCTATTTATCGTAAACAATCAAAATCCTCTTCAAAAATAATTATTTTAATGCATCCTATTCTTACTAGTTTAATTCCGAATATAAAATTTAAAAGAAATAAAACTACCAGTTCAGTAAACAAAACTGTATTATATTAACAAAATCTAACAATTATAAGTCTGTACAACAGAGAAGAACAACTAAGCATATGAATGGTTTCTAACGATGCCATGGATCAACCCTATGTGTGCGTATAACAAGTGAGATTTTTCTTGACATCTCAGAGTCATACACACGTTTACACCGTTCATACATGTATCTTCGTCTCCAATCAGTTGGTTTTTCATAACGTTGTTGGAAATTGACCGTACTTCTTACCTTATCAAAATTTATTATCCTGAAAATAGATGAAGGAAGAATGAAGTAAATATAAAGATAAATTTGTTTTTTGTTATATTTTTTAATTTTATTCTGATGGCCGGTGACGAATGAATTGAAGAACTGGGATAGCAACGTTCCTGAATGCATATTTAAGTAAATGAATTAACCGACATGCACATTAGTAATAAATAGAAACAAAGTATTGGATTTATAATGACACTGGGACAAGAATCACCAACAATTATAATGGAAATAAATTAAGGATTATACTAGACGGATTTAATCTTTATTGTATTTGAAATGAGTCAAAACTGTATAGTGTCATTTAATCAATATATCTCAAATATTTGTAGATCAACAGATCAATGGAATATGATAAACAGATAGGTAGACAAAGTATCCTTATAACTCAGATTACAAGAATACGAATATAAGGTATTTGAATTAATTACACTACAGAGTCCAAGTTAAATAATAGAACTGAATGCACTTGACAGACGTATGCTCATTCAGATCTTACATTCCAAAATGAGTATACAAATACATAAATCTATCAAGACAACATAAATGATCACACTGTTATTATGATATAATCTCTTAAATTTCCCCTCTACAGTACATATACAAAAAATGGTACTTCATATGTCTAAAGAAAATGATTTCAGTCACCTTGAGGGCCGAATCTAACAATACATCAGAAGAATCCGTACACGAGTGTACAATACATGGCTTGGTTATTTGAACCGATGTACGTTCATAGCCATAACGACGGATTTGCTTTCTGTACCTAGACCACTAACCACAAAATAAATATTGTTCACCTAAATTTCTGAATTATGCATTCACAGATAATAGGTTCTTACATAAGCATATTTCTTGCGTTAATAGTTGTTTATCAAGCTTAATTCCTGTGGTGTCTCTGAGTACCAACTGTTGGTCATTTATGGTAAATACTTAACCACGCGCTTATTTCACAAGGAAGTATAAGGAGATCGAGCTGTTTCAGGTACTGGCTTGTTGATAATAATGTTTCTTCTCATAAGTCAGGGGTTCATGCAGTATCCGCTTTGTGTTAAACATCTTGCAGATCCGCTCAAGCGAATGTTCCCAGGCAGTAAGATATATTTCGCCTCACTTTTTTCTAGTAAGTACTGACATAATGCATAAAAGGGGTATCTCCTGAACTGATCACAATGATTTCAGTCACAGTTTGGAAGGACTAAAACATATTAACGACTTCTAGAGAGTTTAGATCTTGCACAATTGAATCGCCAACTACAGCAAGCTCAAAAATAAGACTATTCATGAAAGAACTAGCTAAGCATCCGTAATTTGAAATGTCCTTAGCATCTACAGGTTTCTTTCATATTACGAAATAGTGATCTATAACTCCGAAACAAGAATATTTTTGGTATAAAGTCGATTGTAAGGAAGCTGTTAGCGGTAGCATTGTATGCAACTAGTATTGTCCAACAAAATTCCTGATCCTTAATTTTAAGAATCTGGCACATAATTGATACAAATCCTTGGTTCAAAACAGCTTCTGATAAACTACTTACAACTATTAGGAAGTGGATAACTACAATACTGAAGCATCGTACAAAGTCTTCATAAGACTGCGTCTTATCAGCGCCTTCACTTAGTTAAAATCTGACAGTTGAATGTGACAAAAGTATTTAGGTTATATATCAGTAAATAAGGATAAGAGGTGGCTCTGATTAAACTACATGAGGTAACCCCTTCTGGTTGCAGCATGGTGAAGGCGGCTTACAGAAAAAACATTGTGCCGGTCGATGTTGGAAATTTTGGCTAGCTTGACGAAACACGTATAAAGAGACCGTGGGAATAAAAAAAATGTTTTTTTCCTTTGTAAATTCGCATATTTGTGATTAAAAACGTCATCTGACGCGTTAAATATACGTATATATGCCTGTCGTGAGCCCACCTTCAGTAGGAATATGCCTGTGTTAATAGCGTAACTGGATATTTGACTTGCTATGTGAATTTCTTCTGAACTACCTAAAAGTACTACAGGAGCATACGTCTATACTGGCCCCACCCCTTTTCAAAGAACGGAACATTAAACCTTTAACGGTCGTTCGATTTCGCGATACGTACGAGAATGTGAAGCACAACTTACAGAAGTATATTTTAATCATATGACAAACAATTAAGAAAACTCACTTATTAATCGATTTGAAAGCGCCGGTATAGTCATTATTGTTAACTACCACAGTCTTTTTCAGAAAGCGGAAGTTCTTGAAGAAGGTATCTAATGGCAAGGATGATTTCGACATCTAAAGTACAAGATCGGCCCCCAAACTTGACCGCGCTCTCTTCCTCGCGGCCTTGAACGGTAGCGGACATTGCATATTTGAAGTGCTTGAAGTCTGTTGGGTGGGTATATGCAGCACCTGTAATATAGTTCCTACCCAAGTCTCACATATGTACGAATTCGAGATAAGGCATCTACGGTCAATGTTGAATAATATAGGCCAAAAACTCGGGAGAACGTCTTCCGCATCAAGTATGTATTAGAACCGACTTCCTGCTGTAATATGCATAGCAGATGGGTTGTATATGTTTGTATGGCTTCTCAATGAAGCTTTCGCTTGCACTGATCTGGCAAGCGCGAACATATCTGTACCTTACTCAGACATCGTAGGCCTTATACATGTCTAAACTATTTCAAACTCTAAATTTAGTTTTCCTTAATTTTCTTCAGTCTTCAGTCTTCAGTAATAAGGATAGTAGGTTGATGAACCTGTGTTAATCCTGACACACTGCTTTCCAGTGAAGGTCCAGCTTCTCCTTGAAAGTATTCACTGATGTGGCTGATATCACTTGTTCGGGTAAGGCGTTCCAATGATTGACTACTCGATGAGAAAAACGGGACCCCACTTTAAGTTTATTAGATCTTGGTTTATGAACCTTCTTGCTATGACCGCGGAGATTATTAGTGCTGGAGGGAGCAAAAAGATAAGACATATTAACACCCAAATCATAATTAAAGATACGAAATGCCAGTATAAGGTCACCTCGCGTCCTACGATACGACAAGAGGAAAAGATTTAGGCGTTTTAAACGCTCATCGTAAGGGAGTCTAGAAAGACCTTTCACTAATTTCGTTCCCACACGCTGCAAATGTTTCAAATATGTCTCCGTAGCCGTACGTTCCTCCTTAATTTTTGCTTGAGGTAGACAAATAACTCTTTGGGCCCACCAACACCTCACAACTATAGTCAGCCACAAGGGAATTTCGTGCCCAGTACCAATAGTCTTCAATCCAAAGAGCTTGCAACCCACCACTTGGTTAAGCCAGCACAACAAACCATCATTAATAACTTATTCTGAAGTCCTTTATATCCACTTTTCATCAGCTTTCTACTTTCACACATATTATGTTGACATACTATCAATTTTATTACATCACCCATTGTCTTATCTATAAATAATATATCCCTACACTTTTCTGACCACTTCGGTAAACAAATTCTGTAAATGCATATACCTTGTTCCAAAATCCACAACTTATGCTATTATCACTTTACGCCAGTGTGAAGTAGATGGCTAACGATGACATGTTTTGAAGACAGGACATATTGTAGCATTGTTCCAGTTTTTGTAATCAACCCTGGATTACAGATAGAATAAAACATGTGTTAATTCCTTTTGGCAACCTAGGATGCATCCCATCGGGTTTGTATGAACTGGAAGGGAGGGCATCTCTACAGTATGTACATTGCCTAAGTAGTTGGAGAATACTTGGTCTAAACCATAGTCGTTCTTTACCGATGATGCAGTACTACTGTTTCCTCATAACGCTAGAACATTACCTCTTCTCTTGGTCCATTGGTTTGTGTACGAGTATAAGTGTTTAGGGTATTCTGTAGACCCCTTAAAAAGTTTTTCTTCACACAACTTTTTGAACTTTTGGTGGGTCAAGTCACAAATATTTTGAGCTTCATGATATTGATATTTGATCTTGTTAGTACCGAGTAGCATAAATCTCTCTCACATTATTCTCCTCTTACGGAGAAGTGTGTGAACCCGTCTACTAGTCCATAATGAAGGATATACGGACCCTTTAATGTAGTCCAAGGGATGTGTAATGAAGTGGCGTTCATGTACAAATTTTTGACTACATCCCAATAAATCTCAATGAGGGACCCAGGGTCTATTGTCCAATGCTGGGTGTATAATATCTTGTATGTTTGCCTTCCAGATGTGTTGATCTAGCTTGGGCTGACACATCGTCATTGACAAAAAAGTATAAATCAAAGGCTACAACTGCATAGTCACTTTTAACCGGGAGTGAATTATAATCAAGGTTTGTGACGCTATCTTCATAATGGGTCAATATGTAATCTAATAAGGATGATTCGGAGTCCAAGTCGTACTTAGTTGCTTTCCCCATGTGTTACACTGAGACACATTTGATAACTGCATCAACTAGTTTCTGTTTGGATGAACGTTCTAACAATTCAGTCATCAGATTTTTCTAGTCTACCTTAGGTGCATTAAAGTCCCTTAAGATTAAACATCGACCACTTGACGACCGAGTGTTGAAGCCATCAAGTAAGATCTTATTCACCCTACAGTTTGGACTGCGGTAGAGCAAACCAATCAGCATCTCTATTCCTGTGAATTTCAAGCGGAAACTAACTAAATTGCCCGTCTCATTGTCATAAGATATGTTGTCAATAACGATGAGTGGAATAGTATATCTAATGAACAATCATTTTCTCTCTTTAACGCTTCTGAATTCTGTCGGCTTTTAGTGATATGAAACTTTCAAAATCAAGTTCCTTAATTTTTACAAACTGCGTCAGCCAAGTTTCTCTGACTGTAATTACATTTGGCTTGACATAGTTTATTCACATACCTTGCCTTGTTTACCTGTTGATTTAAATGGCTGCATGCAGTGACTCGGGTGTCATTCTTTGTTGAAGCCTCATCAACCAAAAATTTAATACTTTTAGGTCCTTCTCGCCATAATCTAACCTCAACATTGCTGACACAACCACAACCACAAGTATTTTTAATAAACCGTTTGAAAGCCTTAGGCGTAAATACATTTTTAATAAAGCACAAGTAGATGACCGACGTCGTCTTCATCTAGGTTATGGTGGTAAGCCAGAAGATATATTGTCTTAGGAGGAATATTGATTACTATCACCATTTACACTCTGAAGACAAGCATACGATCCTGATGTACTGCGCTTACGTCCGTATATACAAATATATCTGAAGGAAAAATACTTTGGAGTCGGGTTACCTTTCATTTTTATCCTGATATGACATACATATTGTTTGTATACTGTACAAAGAAATATTAATCACGGAAATTCTATTACTGTATGCATTTCATCCAGGCAGGTCTTGGAATCGACCCACCTGGTAAACCGCCGCGATAACATAATATCACAAAAATTCTTATATCGTGTATAATTACCATAGCGTCACCTTAATCATTTGAAAGGTGGAGGTTATCAAGCTGTTCGGCTTGGCCAAGCTCAAGCTTAAAATGGGCTTGACTTGACCGCTTTCGAGAAGACTTGCGAACGGTTGAGATGACGCACCAATCGTTTTAAGACTGCTTGGCATTCTAGTACTCGGCAACCATCATCAAGGTACAATGCCACTGGATCGCTGCCAAAACCCTACGCCATATAGGCGAGTTGTTGTTGCTGTTATAATATTACTGTCACACCCGATGTTGTAAGCAGCGTTCCCCAAAAGAGTGAGCAGTTATCGGAATAACTTTTGGTTGGGATGCAGACGTTTTCATGGTTGGGGACAGTTAGTCTACAATATGCAAAGTTTGGAGCACAATGTTGACGGTGCCATTAAACATTGTTGTCGAGAATCAGTTTCAGCTTTTCTCTTCGAATCGTATGTTAGAAACGTTAGGTATTCACTACATTGCGAATTCGTCGGGTCTAAACTGGCTGCATGGCGATGTTGAATAAGTTTGCTTTTAATTTGCTGAATCAGATCTTATCACAAGATGTGACCGGGTCGACAGTAAGTTATAATTTCTCATTAGAAATCATTGCGTGCAGGTATTCAAATTTTTCCAATACTAGGCCAAATAATTCAGTTATAGCAAATGGTAAATCTAAGGTCATCACACAAACCGTAGACAGAGGCACGATTGAGTTTCAGCCCTTCAGATTTCCTCATCGATCAGTTTCCTTCCAGTACCATGGGTATATTTAAATGCTCTGTAGTTAGCTACGAGTGTAAGCGGAACACCATGACAGATATACTTTGCCATTATACCTCAAAACCAACGCAATATTATATGGTTATTACTCCCGTTTTTTACACACATTTTCTTAGACAGGATGACAGGTTCGTACGTTGACAGCTGTTTATAAAATTTCACGTGACAAAATCGTCGGAGATAATTTATGATTATCTCCAGAAGTCAACAAAAGGCTGCTAAACTTATGCGTTGACGCCCGAACTGGCAGTCAGTGGCACCTTAAAAATTCTACCGAACAATTCGTAGTTGGTTAACATCTCAGTCTTCATTATTATACCTCATGTGTTCCTGTTTCCAGAGTGTTACCTGTCCGAAAAAGAAAATAGCACAAGCATTGAAGGTTGTGAGCCAGACTTTCTTGCACGACGCAATAAGAAAAGTATATAAGCGTGCATGGCGACCCAAAGAAAAATTGAGCTTGAAGCAGTTTAGTTTTATGATTGGATATTTGTATCTGTTTTTATCAGTTGCTGATAAATTTTAAATTTTGAAAGTATTATTCACAGTTTATTTCATTTCCAGCTACCTTTGCAAGTGCTCACTGTAAGCAACATATTTACACTAGATGCCGTACATAATCTACACTATATTTATACTGTGGTAATAACGATTCTTAGGTCCCATGACTGCTATAACATAAGCCATTTGTTTGATATTACATTTATTATATGAACGACGTAAACTCTTTCCTCTTGTGGAACTTTATCGAGAGTTTAACTTCTGTGCTACAAACTTACCAACAACTCAATCCCGACTCAGACGAATATAAAGACGTGAATGTTGTTATAACGTTGAATCGCTTTTACCCCATGATACTTGTTATGACTTGACCTTGGTCTGTCTAGTCTAAATTATGACCTTGACGCGTTAGGCTGAGTGGGTTAACCTTGAGTCTAATACGCGTGAGTTCGATCGGGGTAGAGAGAACTATTCTAAATCCTGATTGGTTGGCAGGCACACAAGTGAAAGAAGACAAGACAGTTGGAACACTAAACTCTGGATTCTCTGAATTCGGATTACTACAAA